TTAAGAATGGCATAATAGCAGCACAAAAGCGGCAAGAGGAAGAGCAAAAGCAGTAAACCGGGGGAGTCACGTGACACATAGCTACCAATGGCATTGCACCCATGCATTGTCTATGGACAAATATAAATGTCGATTATAAAAAACACCATAACAGAAATCAAGATGGTTTTGCACCATTAGTAGCTGAACGTCTCACGAGTTGAATAAAGTTGAAATGGCGCTTCTAGCCCAAGGTATGCCGGAGATATTAAGCTTCCAATTTTGCCCCATTCATTTCCAATGGGGAAATTTCTGTAAAAAAAGCTGAATATCTTAAAAAGTTATAAAAGTTATACGACCACAACCACGACCACGACTGTTAAGTCAGAATGTATAAGCTCATTTCATCATAAGTATAAGTAAATTAGACCATATAGCCCAGTTCTGGCCTGTCCTCACTGGCTTCCAGTTTGTTTTCAAGTTGCTACAGACCTGACAGCTTTGTATTCATAGCTTAAGACATTCATTCATTCATTTATTTACATTGGCTTTTAATATATAGTACAGTGTCACACATTCTATTTAATATGAATAGTATGCACAGTAAATACAACGTACTAGAAATAGCTACTAATTGGAAAACATAGTATGGATGCTGAATCAGCATCCATACAATAATAATAATAATAAATGAAGAAATAAATAATTGGAAAACATAGTATGGATGCTGAATCAGCATCCATACAATAATAATAATAATAATAAAGAAAGAAAGAAATAATTGGAAAACATAGTATGGATGCTGAATCAGCATCCATACAATTAAAAAAAGGCTAGAGCTTTATTTGAAAGATTGTAAAAATAAAATCAAACAACAGAAATAGGCTATAATTAAAATTTTTGATTTGTTAGAACTATTCCAGTCAATCTAACCATGAAACTAGGCTTTATTCTTTTGCCCTATGTGCAAGTGTATTTTGTCATTTAAAACATATTAGTCACATACAGCTGAGATTGTAATGTTCGCCTTCTTTCATTATCAACAAACAATAATAGATAGGCTACTGACACTGTAATATTCTGTTGAACCACTAAAAATTTACGATTACAACACAATAAATATGAAGCATTATATAATATAAAGACCAAGGGGATTATTGAGCTTCATATAATATTTGGTTTAAAAAAACTTAAAATGCTTTAACTGAGCTTAAAAATTGAAGTTTTGTTTATTTTTGCTAAATCTTTGCACACAATTTAGGCTTCTATGTTGGTAAATGTAACATTAAAAGTAAAGGAACCCTCCATAATTTCACCATGAAAGAATGAAGGGGAATGACAATTGCTCCCTCTAGAGAAAATGTCTAGCTGTACAGTCCACCTCCTGGTTTATAGCACAGTGGTTTCCAATTATTGATTTTTATTGTGAAATGGCCTGTACTGGTCTAATTGGACTTATATAGTGCTTTTCTACACACTTTGTACAGTATTTTCCCATTCACTCATTCCCACACAAAAACATTCACACACTGTTGATATTGCCAGGAACAACTTGGGGCTCAATGTCTTGCTTAAAGATACTCCAACATGTGGAGTGGAGAACCCAGGGACTGAACTACCATGAAAAATGCAAATGTTTCAGTCAGAGGACCATTGTCAGCACAGACAATGCCAGTACAAACCCAGTAATTCTACAAAGAGGCAGCTTTATTTTATTTTATCTTGTTGTATTTGATGAGCCTCTTTATTTTGGCGGAGTGCAGACATCTTTTTACATACTCCATGTGGAACATGTTGTTTTTGGCTATACGCACCTGGCATATTATTTGAAAGTCCTAGAATTAGGAGCACGAGCCCTGCAACATTTTTTGATAAAATGTGATTATTCCCTGCTTTGCTATTATTGTGTAGAATCCTGTAATAACAAATTATTTCAGTATCACTTCCAGTCTAATGTGACAAGCCTGTGTGACAAATAAATCCAGGATTGCTCCTGAGAAGCACAGATGTAAAATTTCCAGATTTTTGATTATTTCCCATGACAGCCACTAAATTTGATGGTAATCCTAGAAATTTCCTGAACACCAGGAGCAAAGTTATTAATGTACCATCAGAGGAGAGTAATGAGGAAAAGAGCTAGTAGCTGACTGTTTGTGGTATGTTAAGTCAGGTGCTCTGTGGGGAGGATTAATTTCCTCCTGAACTCTGCTGTTAACACATGAGGGGTCACATGTGCAGCCTGAATGGTCTCAGAGGAATGAAACAACATCAGTGGGATAACAGAGCTCATTATGACTCTGTCTTGGTTATATGTTTTACTCATCTTGTTTCTGTGTAACTTGCTACTAGTTGATATTTCGTCTGCATTAAATGCTTTCAGCAATATGGAAAACTCAATATACAAATCTAGTAGTTATATTAATAAGATCAAACCAAGTAAATAAAAGAAGCAAAAAACAAACAGATAGAATTAAATAGTAAAAGCTATAACAAACATGTCTGCTTTTTAAACTAATTTATAGGTATAGTGTTAGAGTGAACTTCCTGACTGGCTCCATACTTTATTATGATAGTTTTTGTGCTGTAACACAATATCAATATCTGGTTAACATCTTAGACAAATAGAATTAGAATCAGAATCTGCTTTACTGGCCAAGTGTGTTGGACACACGAGGTATTTAACTCTGGTACATCGACTCTCAGTGTGAATGTACATATCCCCATGCAAGGGGCAAGTAAACAGTAAACAACATAAGGCTAGTATAACAAAATAAGCAGTATAAGCAGGCAGTAAACGATGCAGACAGACAAGGGAATGCTCATTGTGAATGAGATAAATAGGAATAAAAACAGAGTACTTAAAAATAGAGACCTGTACAAATCTGTATAATCTGTACAAGGTATATTTACAGGTATTGCACTGAGGATTATTGTCCAGTCATACTGTCTATGTAAATTTGCAGGTATTGCACTGAGGGTTATTGTCCAGTCATGCTGTCGTGGGTTAAGTGTATATCAGAGTGATGGCCTGGGGGAAGAAACTGTCCCTGGTTGTCTTGGTGTACAGTGACCTGTAACGCCGTTCAGAGGGGAGGAGTTGGGTGTAAGGGCCTCCTTTTGACCCATGAGGTGTACAGGTCCTCCATGGAGGGCAGGCTCACACCAGTGACCTTTTCAGCAGTCCTGACTGTCCGCTGAAGTCTGTACTTGTCCTGTTTGTTTTCTGAGCCAAACCAGACAGTGATGGAGGTGCAGAGAACAGACTTGATGATTCCTCTGTAGATCTGTATCAGCAGCTCCTAAATACTATACAAATCTACAACAATCTGCTTTGCTAAAGGGTAAGTGATCACCTATGTGTTTTATCAATATCTTTTATACAGTCAAACATTAATTAGACTTAGTAAATAATTAATGTATGACTGATACCTTGTTTTAGGATTTATTTATATTACTTGCCTTACTTAAAGATGCTACATACTGTAGGTACTTCATCAGACTCAATGTGACTCACATTTGACAGAACACAATCAAGATGACAACATAAACTATTGTTGAAATTAATGCAAATTATTTATAGCCATCCATTTTCTATACCGCTTAGTCCCAAACGGGGTCACAGGAGGCTGGATCCAATCCCAGCTGACATTGGGTGAGAGGCGGGGTCCACCCTGCACAGGTCGCCAGTCTGTCACAGGGCTGACATGTAGACAAACAACCACACACATTCATATTCACTCCTATGGGCAATTTAGAGTCACCAATCAACCTAATCTACATGTTTGTGGACCGTGGGAGGAAGCCGGAGTACCCAGAGAGAACCCACACAGGCACAGGGAGAACATGCGATCTTCACACAGAAAGGCCCCGAGACACAGAACCTTGCGCTAACCACTGCGTCACTATGCCGCCTATTAATACTCAGCAATAACCTATTTTACAATCAGTTTTCATTTTACTTAATCACTTCCAGAACTAATTTGCTCATTCCTCTAAATGCATTCTCATCTTCCTTTGAAGGGAACATTGGATTATTTAAACGGCTGTGTCTCATAAACTGAGCATGGGTGTGTCTGCGTTGCTGCAGGCACAGCTTCTTTGAGCTGCAGCAGGATACAGAGGAATGACCAAGGAAACAAAGGGAGGCTATTGATTTGCCATTCACACACCCATCTTGTGATGCCCATGCACACATTCTGTAGCTGTAAGGTCATATGTCAAAGGCAGATATGACTCGAGCTTTGCTCACAGTTCTCACAGCTCTCCATAAAGCAGGCATCATGTACAGCATTTTCAGTAATTCTGCACAGAAAGCGTCCATTGATTTCCCAACAAGACGCTTAGAAGATTGTCCTTTAGGGATGTATGTTACTTTATGTTCATCTGAATTATTTATGGGCACTTTATCAGTTTTGCTTTCCACACTGAGTTACTGTACAACTTCCTGAGCACTTCACTGTAGATACTGCATTTATGACACTGACACGTAACATCAGATAGAGTGGAATCTGCCTTAAATATAGCTTACAATGTAAAATACACAATACACATGGAGTAATAATTAGTCCAGGTAAGAATATCAAATTTATAAAAAAGACAACAAAAACAGCATCAAAAGCTATAGAAACTCAAGCAACACACAAAAAATAATTAACCAAACAGCACTTACATCTGTTTTTGGAGGGGGTGGTGCCAGTTTACAGGCTCACAGTGATGTAAGAGGTGAGAAGAACTTTTATGGTAATTCAGGTTCGAGGCCCTCTTAAGAAGAGAGTGGAGACATTTCTTAAGCTCTGTTGGGGTTCAGGACTGCTGGGTGAGGATCCCGGCTCCAAGAGGAGACAGACGACCAGATAAGAGGATGAAGACTCTGACGCTGGTGCTGCTGGTTTTGGCTTTTACTTCTGCCAGTGCCATAAGTGAGTGCATTTGATAATTCAGCTAAAAAAATGTATTTATTTTGTAAACCTTTTTCAGTTGTGCTACCGATAAATGTTCTCACTTTTATGTGCTCTGCCCTGCATAAATCCCAGCTTTAACAAGTATATTATCACATTACTGTCTGTGATCAAGAAAGCAACACAAAAAGTACTTTATTTCATCAGAGGAAAAGTGATTAGATTAAATTTAATTATTATTTATCAACAGATACACTTGCCATCAATCACCAGCTCATATCTCTTTGAGTTTGTATTTCTTTGTTTGAATTACAAATTGAACAGAAAATTGATTAATCTGTGACTTTATGCTTGTTTCATACTAACACACTTAACACTGTTGAAGATGAATAAACATGCACATTTGATGGTATTACACTGATTCTTATGCCAATTTGCATTCATGAAGCTCATGTATTTTCCAAGGTATGTGCTATAATTCAGAAAAAAAACATTTTCTATTTATGTTATTTTGTTCATACTTGGAAATAAAAATCATTTGTCATGTTTAGTGGGGATATTTTAAACAAATATGTTTTGAAGATCATTTTCACACACACACGTCACAAGCTGAGAAATGATACAGTTCACCACTGTCTAGGGTCCCTCGTCCTTCTCACTGGGATTACTGATGTAGCTGCTCAGCTGATAGTCACATGAAAGGGATTGAGGGGGATTGCAGGTCGTGTGACTCTCACCACCAAGAGCCTTGAGATTCTTCATCTCTCCTTGACATCACAAACATGGAGCTGCTCTCCTTTACACAAAATCTCTCTCATTAATGCTTAAACTCTAATATATTACTTTATGGCATCATACGTTATGCCTTGTATTTACACCTTTATTGTCTTTTTAAAAGCAAACTAACAGTAATTCTACTGAAATATAGTTAAAGGTATATCTACACATTATCTCAAGCAAACAAAAAAAAATGAATATCCTTTCAACTACACTGACAATGAAAACTAAAATATATATTTACATCTCATCTAAGGGATGGTTTTAAAGATAAAATAGCTCTGAAATATCACCATGTTTCACAAGCTTTGTATCACTAGAAACTCTTAATGATGTTAACTGTTGCTGTTGATGCTCTTATTCAAAATAATATGAGCTGCTTTATTGAACTGTTCTGATTAGTCTGTGATATTTCTTCTAGAGCCTAGAAGTCAGTTCACACATTACCGCTCATGGAACTCAAGGATGTATCCTGTGTGGAGAGATGGAGACCCAAGATTTAGGAACTGCTGGTTTGGTGAGCTTTCCCTCTTTTTAAAGACACAAATGCTGCTAAAGTAAGTCTCTCAATCAGCCTATCTAATGTAAGATGTTAAATTGCGTGTAATCTTCTTTGTCCAGGCGGTGAAGTAACTTTTGATATTAAAAATGATGCACCCACTCTGACTGGAGCAAGAACAACATTCACTATTAGTCTGAGCTTCCCACCAAACCAGACAGTGCTCTCTGATGGCCAGGTGGTGTGGGCACGTAACTGCACCATCAATGGTAAGATGCCGCTGACTCTGTGGACCACAACTACAGTCTGTTGTAATGTTCTAACTGTTTTTATTCATGAAAACATTTATTCAATTAGGAGAACAATCTTTTGGATGAATCCCCCCCCCCCAAAATTTTATACAGATTCATTTTAACAGTTTTTCATTAGATTTGTTTTAATTGTCATATTAAGGTAATGGTAAAAATATATTTTTGTTATTATTCATTGTATAGATTACTACAATAGAAATGGAGAACGTCTTCAACTAAGGGACAAGTCAAGTCCGATTTTATATATATAACTCAATAGCACAAATCACAATTTTGACTCAAGGGGTTTTTCCATCTGCACAGCATAAGTCCTTACAACCTTGAATCAGAAAACTCCTGTGTCCCCTCCCCTGGACAAATGTGATTTTGACGTTGTGCTAGTTTCACCTACATTAATGTGCAGAGGTCTGTTGTTGCTATTGTTGACTCATGATCTCTGACCATCCTATTTTTCAGGACAGCCGTATCAGGAGGGACGGGCTGTGTATCCCAACCAGGACACAGAGTGGATGGGAGTTTTCCCTGATGGCGCACCCTTCAACAGGACCCAGGACAAGAGACCTCACTATGTGTTTGTGTGGAAGACATGGGGTAAACATTTTGAAATAACTTATCAGCTTGAAAGTTGTGCTGTTTTTCGTACTTCATTTTATTATCCCTGAGGGAAATTGGTTTGTAGGAGGCACAAAGACATAACCACATTCATATATAACTCAGCAGACATCAGAACACATCAGTGTCTTACATTAAATTACTTATATAGTAGCTGTAGATTACATTGCACAAGAACAATCATAAAAAATAATTAAACAAGAAAGTCTGCACCACCAGACAGATAAATACTAAATACAAATTAAATACAATAAGTAAACTGCACATTCCCCATCCCACAGTGCCACAGTATACAAAGTAATGGCTGAAGGGATAAAGGAATTTCTTGTTCTAATAGTCCAAAGATGACGGCCTGATAGCAGGACCTGGAGCTCATTCAACCAAGGATGTTATGAATGTGATAAAAGGTTTTGAATTTTTGCCAAAGCACAGATTTTGTAAATTTCATTGTGACAATCTTGCTGGGAACTACTGTAGTGGTTTTACTAGCAATTTTCACAGTTCTTCTAAGTAGTTTCTTTCTTTCTTTCAGCTGTAAACTAGCTGTACTGTATACTGTGCTAAAGGTAGTCTGTGATCATCTCTGGCATTTTAGATTTGGCATAAAAAGATCATCATCACCTTTGAATTTAAATTGCGTAGTTAACTCAGGAAAAAAACATGTTAACTTGCCGGGTGAATAACTTTAATACATCACTCAGTTTCCTGTGGATTAATTTTGTGTCACGCCATAAGAAATTCTGGTAGATCTTCATGGTCACCTGCAAAATTCGATTATCAACCAGGCAAAGACGCATCATGCCCTGGGGCCCCTGAGGCCCTGTTTGCAGTTGGTCCGTGGTCATTTTTAGAATTGTTCATTAGTTTGGGCCTTTAGATTTGTATGGTGCACATTTTAAAATAATTTTATATAAAAAAACTACCACAAACAAAATAGGAGCCCACAGCACAAGGGCCCTTGAGTGGACTAACTACCCAGTCTCACAGCAAAAAATAGCTACATGGGTCTGCAATGCAAAACAGAGTATCTCCATCATGTGTGAGCTGTTTGAGTTGTGCATTGATTACTGAGCCACTCTGAGTAATCCCATTGTTGTATTTAAGGACGTTACTGGCAGGTGGCAGATGGACCTTCCTCCTCCCTCACCATTGGGACAGACAATGTCCCCCTGGGCTCCTACAACATGGAGGTTGTCATCTATCACTGCCGTGGCAGAGACAAGTTCATCCCTCTTGGTTATGCCTCCACAGTCTTTGCCATCACAGGTGAATTTTAACAATGTCTAACCTAGCTTGGGGAAAATAATTCTACAGCGTTTGCATTTCTTTAACAGTATCCATCATAACATCTCTACATTTGTTGCTCTGTCTTCAGACCAGGTTCCCTTCACCATATCACTCGTCCAAATCAATGATGTAAACCAGGATGACCAGAACTTCATCCAGAACCGAGCTATTGCATTTAGCATCAGTCTCCATGATCCCAGCCAGTACCTCAACAATGCTGACATCAGCTTCAGCTGGGACTTTGGTGACAACTCTGGAACTCTGATCTCCAGGGAGCGCACTGTCACACACACATACCTCACCGTCGGGACCTTCAGACCTCAAGTGGTCCTGACGGCAAGCATCCCCAGTGGCTGTGGTAACCCCACTGCTGGTGAGATTTCAAACAAGTTGTTATTATTTTTTAAATCTTTTATGTAAATGCTGTCCTATGTGATGTCTGAATTTAAAGTTTTATTTCAGTTTCTCCTACTGATTCATCTGCTGTTCCAGTAGTAGTTGTGATGACCTCCACCCCTGCAGCTCTCACAGCAGCACCAGCTGAGGGAGGAGATGCAATTGCACTGGACGTTTCCGCTTCTGATACCACTCCACTCGCTTCTGTGCAGCCAGCTGACGCAGATGCAAATACAGATAACGGAGAATCAGTTGTTAATACAGACACAGAGGCAGTAGAGATTGCCTCAGTAGCTCCTGCAGTGGTTGATGCAGCTGCTGTTGCAGAAGATCAAGATCCTGCCAACACTGCTGCAGAAGCAGATGTTGCTGGGGAGGAAACAGATGCTGCAGCAGCAGAAGTGATCACTGCTGCCCCTGCTGCTCCTGCAGCTGTAGAACCAGCAGATGCTGATACAGCTGCTGCAATTGAAACTGCAGCGGTTACAAATGCAGCTGAAGATAATGCGCCTGTGATTGATGCTGCTGCCTCAGTTGCACCTGTTGCAGAAGTAGAAGAAGCTGCGACTGAGGCCCCTGCTGATAACGTTGTTGCTCCTGCTGCAAGTCAGACCACAGCTCTAGAAGCAGCAGCACCAGCTGATGTGTCAGTGGATACTGAGACTGAGCTACTGGAAACTGAGAATGAAGTTGCAGCTACTGCAGCTCCTGCAGGTGAGTATTTACTGTAAACTACGTATACACAAAATAAATATATATTTTTTTATGACAAATTGCGTCCTTTTTTCCAGAGCAACCAGCAAATGTGGAGGAGGCTGTTCCAGTTGAAGGTGAAGTTCAAGCAGAGGTGGAAACAGATCCAGCGCAGGTCGTCCTCACTGTGGCTAAAAGACAAGCACCAGAGCTGGCACCTGACTGCATGGTCTACCGTTACGGCTCGCGTGCCACCTCTGTAGATATTGTCCGTAAGTTAACATGGTTTTTGTTATTATGGCAGATCACATTGATTTGATAATATAAATAAAACTGTATTATTTTATTGTGTAAAATCTCTCTTTATATTTCTTTTAACCCTGCAGAGGGTATTGAAAGTGTAGAGATTGTACAGGTGTCAAATGTTGTATCAGTGGCCACTGAGTTGGAACAAAATGCTGTGGACATCACCATTACCTGTCAGGGAAGGTGAGTTATAACAGTCTTTGTGTCATTACACAAGTTAGTTGATGTTTAGTAGTTATTGTTGTGGTTGTTAATTCACTTACACAATCCAAACATGTTTCTCTTCCAAACTTAAACCAAATCACTGATGACCCAAATGCAAAATGTCCACAAGGTTACAATGTGTCCATTTGACAAGTGTAAGAATTTCTAAATGTCTGAATTGCTGGAAATTTAAATAAAGTGTCTAGCTAGTATATTTTTGGTACACAAACATGGCCAAGAGGTTCAGTTACTGTGCATCTTATCATTAGAGGGGTATTGATTGGTCTGGTCTTAAGTTTCTTTGTTACTAATACAACATCCTGATTAGCTTACACAGAAACTGTTATTGTATATTATGTTTACCACAACAACTATATTTTAAAAATTGCACTCAGTTGTTACCTCTGTCTCTACATCTCTCATTTCCAACTATGCCTCCTTCAGTCTGCCAAGCGAGGTCTGCACAGTCATTTCTGATGCTGACTGTATCACAGCAGTTGAGACCGTCTGTAATGCAGCCTCACCCTCTTCAGATTGTCAGATGGTCCTTCGTCAGTTCTTCAATGACTCTGGAGTATTTTGCCTCAATGTCTCTCTGACCAATGACGTCAGCCTTGCTGTGGCAAGTGCAAGAGTCAGTGTAACACTAGGTGAGTAAAAGAATTAACAGCCACTAAATGACTTCTTTCTGATTCATATAATTCTTCAACTCTTCAATTTCAGCCTCTGGTGGTTCTCCAGCTGGGACTGCCGCAACAATCCTGGGTGTTATGTTGCTCGCCTGTGTCATCTGTTGTATTGGTCTGATGTACAGGTAAGTTCCAAATGTATGAACCTAACTGAATCTGGGGCCAAAATGGCTGAAAATTTAGACAAATAACACACTGTAATGAGCCAGACCAATACATTCCAAAGAAACCACAAGCAAATCATCTATCATGGTTTCATTATTAAAACATGTTTCCTTTACTGTTATTCTCAGCACCAGTATTATCTCTTTCATGTTGTTAAACCGTTTTAACAATTGAAACATCAGCAGCATATCATTTTTATATACACTGCTAGGAAGAGTAAGGAATTGAGGATCAAATCCCTGTGGATCAGCAACAATACACAGAGTGTACAGCCAGGCTAGCAGCTCTGTGAGTCTGTACAGCAGTGCTTTAAGCTAACGCCACCATGCTGACAGTGACATTGTTAATGAGCTGATATTAAACAGGTAATTGGTATTTACCACGTTCACCTTCTTAGTTTAACATTTACTACGGTCATTTTTTTTTTTATTACTCTTAAGCATAGCTTTTGCTGGTATTTGGTCATAAACCAAAGTACTGGACAAATAATAAATTTGACCTGATGTTAATGCTAGAGAAAGGGAGGATATAAACTCATACATTTCACTGGAGAAAAGTTTCGCTTTGTCATGAGTGAACTCTCTTGTTTCATGCATCTAAACAGGAGGTTCAAGCAGTACCAGCCTCCAAGAGAAGACGGTGTTGTCAGTAACGGAGGAAGCGTGGCGGTAACATCGATACCATTGTTGTTGTGGAACTTGCTGAGCCGACAGTCACCAGGAGAAAGTCGTCCACTGCTTCAGGGGAAAACTGTGTAAACATCATCACTAGTGCGTGTGCTCGCCATCTACATCTGCTATCATATACAAATATACTACTCTCTCTGTATTAATGTGGTAACTCAGTGAGTGGTAAACCAGAACTATGCAGCCCCATGTACAACAACACATGTTGGAATAGAATAAAGTCAAGTTTATAATAAAAACATAGGTATTACATGTTTTAGAGGAAAGTGGCATTTGTTTTAATGTACATTATTTGTATTAATTGGCAATGATATTCTATAGAAGCCATGGCTTATTCTCTTATTTGTGGCCTACCAGATGGAAAATCAATATTAATGCATTTCAGTTCATTTTCATTACAATGCATTTTAAATCACTTACCTCAAAGAACATTATTATGTTTGCTCCCCTCAAATGAATAAAACTGGAGCTTTATTAACTGTATGCATTTACTTTACTGCTATAAATTTCATTTATTCATAGGTGATTTCATGTTCTAAACAGTTCAGGAGCAGGTGAAACTACAGAGCATATATACTGTAGTTTTTGTGTTGTTAAGGCTGCTCTCATTTACTGTATGTATTTTTATTAAAAATGGATCTACATGTGGTATAAAAGTTGTAATATGCAATGATAAACCTACAGATAATTATCACCAACGTTGTTAGCTCTAAAGAGTATTTTAGCATCTTGTGGCTCACTACTTTATGCCCAACAGCCTCCCTTGTTTGGTTCGGTCTCACTGCTCTCATTAGTGTTGTTTCTAGTGTGTTGCTTCCCGTTCACCAACTGGCAGACAGACAACTATAGCAATTTTGTTAACATACTGGAGCCTTTATCAGATAAGGAGCCTAAAGTTTTCCTCAAGAGTTGGTGGCTGCCAAAACTGAGCTGACACTGAATCTTGGACTTACATTCATCAGGTGGCCTGAAATTCAACCATCCATCCATTATCTATACTGCTTATTCCTGAATAGGGTCACAGGGGGTGGAGCCAATCTCAGCTGTTATTGGGCGAGAGGCGGGGTCCACCCAGGACAGGTCGCTAGTCTATTACAGGCCTGACACATAGACAAACAACCACACCCACTCTCATTCACTCCTACAGGCAATTTAGAGTCAGCAGTCAACCTAAGCTGTATGTGTTTGGACTGTGGGAGGAAGCTGGAGTACCCAAAGAGAACCCACGCAGGCACAAGTAAAACATGCAACCTCCGCACGTAAAGGCCCTGGGTCAGCCCGGCCTAAAATCCAGAACCTGCTTGCTGTGAAGCGACAGTGCTAATCGCCACGCTGCTGTGCTGCCTACGCCTGAAATAAAATAAATGCAAACCTTGCTTTATTTTATTTTATTTATTCTTTCAAACATGTAAAGACAGTCAATATGTCAACACACATAATTTCACACATATCCACAAATGCATTATCAATTTGCTTATACCTAGTACATGCTTGAACGAAGTAAGAAGTTAGACTTATCTACTCCTACCCCATAACATCAACTTACCATCACTGGTTTGCATGCACTATTTCTACATAGATAATTTTGTTCTACACCACGCTAGTGATATACTAAAAAA